TGCCATCCCCACGAGCCGCACGATGCCCGTGCTCCGGTGACGCCAAGCTCCTGTGTTTTAATACCCAGTGCTCAGGGACTAGTTCAGGCTGCGGGAAAAGGAGTAAATATATTGACCGGCCTGGCTCCTGGGGGGATGAACGGCCCTGGGATGCCAAGGGCAGCTCTCCCAGGGGAGTCCAAGCTGCACGGTGGGGCCCAGGGGTGCCTGGTTTCTGGAGGCAGTGCGGTGATGAGCTGTGACACTGCGGTTTTGCCAGCGCCCTGAAGACTTGGTTTTATTTCCAAGTGCTCTTAAGAAGGTGTTTTCCTCCGGGATCCCGCTGTGAGCAGGGCTTGGCGCAGAGGCTGTGGCCGAGGAGGGACCTGTTCCCAACCAGCCGCTCGGGACTCGTTCCTCCGGCAGGGATGCTGCGGGCGGCAGAGAATGGGTAAAGCCATTCTGGTGATGGGGTTACCAATAAATTGGGTGGTTTGTGTCTCTGGCTGTAATTCTGAGCCGGCTGTAGCCTCCCCGGGCTGCACTGGGAAGATGCTCTGGTGCACCTATTGGGGCTGCAGGTGACTTTTGGGTGGGTGTGGAGGGTGCTGGAGGGTGCCCCAGGGATGCATTGCCTTCTGCCACGGCCCACGCAAGTCGCTTCACGCCCAGCCCCGCATCCGGGCACGAGAGCTGCCGGGCGCCCGGCCGAGGTGAGGACGTTTGCCAAATACCTTCAGCCCCTGGGATTTTGAATGAACCTTGAAACCAACCCATCCGCTGGGCTGTTTGCTCCCGGTTGGGATCAGCCATGCCTGGGCATGGCTGTGATGCCCACCGCGATGCAGAAACGCAATGCACGGCCGCGATGCGTGACCACGACGCAGGGCCACGGCGCAGAAATACAGCGCACGGATGCAATGCACGGCCGCGATGCAGAAATGCAACGTGTGGGTGCAATGCGTGGCCGTGATGCACGTCTGGGATACACGGATGCAATGCACGGATGCAATACCTGGCCACAACGCATGGATGCACCTCCGTGATACGCAGATGCACAGCCACGCCGGGCCTCGGTGCTGCAAACCCAGCGTGGTGAGAGAGCATCACCTCTGCATTTCCCAACTTCTGCAAAACCCCAGTAACCACCTCACAAAGTCACCTCAGGGCACTTTTTTTTTCCCCCTGCTGTACAAATATGCAAGTTAAACTGTTTTGGAAGCCAAAGGCATTTTCATTTAGACCAAAGCAAATATTTGGTGAAGAGGGAGACACTATACTGTCCTCGGTGCCAGCGTAAATCTGTGGGTTAGCAAAAGGGTGAACTAGTTTAGACTTTAAAGATCCCTGCTCGTTGTGTCATGCGTGCATGTGGGTTATGGGAGGGAAAGTGCTTAAGGAATATTTGCCCCTGAAAATCAGAATTGTCTGGGGTTTTGTGCTTGGACGGATTCACCCGCTTGGCCCCGGTTCGGATTTAAGCGAACGCTGGGGGATGGTGAGAGAATGGCAAGATTCCCATCTGCAAATCACTGTCAGCGCTTGGTTTCTTGTGTTTAACCCCAGTAAAGAGCTGGAGCTGGGGATAATGATACTGGAAGGGCTGCGGGGGTCCTGCCACGGGACCCCGCACCGACCGCTCGCCTTTTTGCTGCTGGCAGCACAACCTCCCACGCCGCTCCTCTCCGTAGAGCCGAGTTTGCTCCCGGCAGATGGACTTCTAGTTATTTTAAATGGTGCCAGGAAAACCTTTCCTGAGGTTTTTCTGAACCCGAGACAGGAGAATCAAACTGCTGGGTCAGGCTTTTTTGGGATCGGCTGTGATCCTGCGCTGCCCTAACCGCAAGAATGGGGTTGGGGTGCAGGGTGGCCATAGTGGGGTGTGCTAAGGGGTTTTAGGGGACACCCTGCTACGTGGGGAGATGGTGATGGGTGGGAAGGATGCCTGCACTGGGATGCAGGAAGCCAAGGGTGCCGCGCATGGGGCTCAGCCACCCTCTCGCCCACAGGGATGGCGCCTGCGGGGACCAAGGCCGCCCCGGCCCGCCGGTGAGGTGCCCACCGCCTGCCCCGAGCCCGGATCACGATGAACAAACTGACCTTCCACAACAACAGAGTCATGCAGGACCGCCGCAGCGTTTGCATCTTCCTCCCCAACGACGACTCCCTCAACATCATCATCAACGTAAGGCGGGCAACGGGGGCAGGGAAACCCCCTGAGCACTGACATTTTCATCACACCCAGGGCTTGCGCTTGCAAGCTCTGGGTTTGCTTCTGGTTTTCCTTTTGAGCCTGCCTGCTCTTGCCCTGCCGCAGAAACGCGAGTTATTCCCCTGAAGGCTGCGGCAGCGTTTTACGCTCTCCTGCTTCTCCTTGCCTCCATGCACTGCTGGCAGCGCTGTGATTTTCGGCAGCTGACCAGCCACGTGCCATCCCACAGGGCGGCAAGACCAGGAGCGGGTGGCCCGTCCTCCTTCGGTCCTCGCTCCACGCATCCAGCCTGGATGGGAACTCGGCCTCCTGTACCCCAGCAAACAAGCAGGAGGAGGGTTGGCTCTGATTTGGATGTAGTATTTACCACCAAATCACAAAATTCACCCATTTTTAATATTTTTTAGTTCACTACCACTCAATATTCTGTTTTCTGCCCCCAAAGCCATCTCCCCTGTGCCAGGCTGGTTGCAGCAAGACCTCCACCACTGCCCGCTGCTCTTGAGCTGTCCGGTGGTCCCCCATCCATCCCATCCCGAGGAGACCTCTGGTCCTGCTCCCCATGGAGGGACCCTGCTTTTTGGGACTGATGTGTTGGACCCATGGAAAAATGAGCCTCCCTGCCACCCCTGGGTCCTGCTTGGGGACCTGGCAGGGGGTCCCGTGCCACCTGCTTGGCTCAACTGGGTTGGGGGCAGATGCAGCAGGAGCCACGTGTGGGTTTGTTGGCAGGTGAAGATTTTGTGCCGCAAGTTACTGGTGCAGGTGTGTGACCTCCTGAGGCTGAAGGACTGTCACCTCTTCGGGCTCAGCGTCGTCCAGAGTAAGTCAGGGCCCTTACACCGCGAGTTCGGTACCCATGGCCTGATGCCACCACGGCTTGGCAACGCGCAGTTTCCACTGGGCGCGGGGTGCACGTTTGCCCAGAGGTGGGTGCAACTTTACCCAGCCCTTTGGTGACCTCTCGTTAGGTGACGAAGAGGTTACGGACCCCACTGGTGGGTTGAGGGAGCTGGGGCAGGGCTCAGTAGGATGCAGGGGACACAGTGGGGGGGGGGATGCTGATGCCACCTCTGTCCCACCCAGACAATGAGCACGTGTACATGGACCTGGCCCAGAAACTCTACAAGTACTGCCCCAAGGAGTGGAAGAAGGAGGCCAGCAAGGTCAGCGGTGAGGTCTTGCATGGAGAGCTGACAGCAGTAAAGCCACCTCTGTCCCCGCCGCAGGTCACTTCCAGGACACGGGAATGCAGCGGAGGGGTGCGGGGAGGGGGCACTTGGCAGTTAGTTGGTGTGGGGGAATGGGGGGCAGGTGTGCAAAATGAATAAAAGACAGATGCTGCTTGATGGCGGTCACCCCGAGTGCCACCGCGCGCCCCAGCTGGGGACACGTCCTCCACGCTCCCCACCCCGGGGAGGTGGCGTGAAGGTTCCTGTGCTGGAACTGAGATGGGGACTGGTGGGTGATGGGCTGGGAGAGGGGCTGCAGACCCCCGGGGCGGGTCTCAAACCCAGCTGCCTGCTTCTTGAGATCCGAATCCCCTTTGTGTTTCAACATAGTGGGGGAAAAATGGGTGTCAAACTCTTAATTTGGGAAAAACTGCAGTGTTAGCTGTGAACTCTTCCCTGTGGCTTTTGCCCAAGGAGGGCAAGAGGGGGGCCGTGACAGACCTGGCCCCGGGTGAGCCAAGGCAACGGGCCGGGATGCGATGCCGGGGTCTCCGCAGGACCCCTGAATATCTCCTCCATTTCAGGGGATCGACCAGTTTGGCCCCCCGATGATCATCCACTTCCGAGTGCAGTACTATGTGGAGAACGGCAGGGTGATCAGGTAGGGGGCACCCACTGCGGTGGGCACCCACCCAGGGCGGGCGGCTGGCGAGGGAGCACCCCAGGGTGCCCTGGGATGGGGCACCGCTCGCTGCAGCTGCGCAGCTTTGGGATACTGCGGGATGGATGCTGTGGGATGGATGGATGATGCAGGACGGGTGCTGTGGGATGGATGCTGCGGGATGGGTGTTTGCGGTGGGCTGGGTGTTGCGGGATCGATGGCTT